GGAGAACAACTTGTATCTTGATGGTGAATAAACCAAAGCTGTAAATGATGTTCAAGACTCATACTCAAAAAAATGATGCAGCTGTAAACTGGCTGCTATGCAAAATTTGGGAAATAATATTTTCTTACTTAGGTCAAGAATGACTTAGACAAAAAAACTCTAATTAAATTTTTGTTTAATACAACAGTGTAAGAACACTATTTTAAATAAAATTGAGTCCAGGAAAAATATGTGTTATTTGAAGATAAAAGGCAAAAAGTGTATGTAACATCTGCATGTCATCCTTGTGTCTGAAAATTTCCAAAATTATTTCCAACATATTTCTAGTATTTGGTTTAGAAAATTACATTTTTAAAAATCATAATGGCACATAAAATGGTAAGGACAGGTACCAAAGAGGAAGAAATTAAATAGAAAAGCAATATTGATATCTTACACTTAAATCATAAGATTAAACTTCCTCCCTCATCAATATCTCCTTTAAGAGCTCAGACAAGTAATAGAACTGATTAATTTCAATTTCATCCCTACTAATTTTGTAAAAGAAGTACCACAAACGTCCAAGAAGTGTTCACCATAAGGATAATGGCAGTAACAATGGCAATTCCAAAAAGGCAAGCAGAGGGAGAAGCAAATGATAAAATCCATACCACATCTACAAAGAATGCTTCACACGCCACTACACTCACTGTACTGAATAATTAGACAGCCTCTTCCTTTTTTGGGAGGAAAGGAGAAGAGCAGAGCTCTTCCATTCCAAGGCCTCCTTTAAGAACCCAAAGATACTGAGCACTTCTCTTCAACAACTACAGGCTGTGATTTGTGATGCACCCATTTCCTACAGTGGAAGTGATTATGCCTTCAGCACCAGCACAGGAAAAGCCGACAAGCCCTGAGATACAGTTTTACTGTCTCAGAGAAAATCAAATACCCAATCAATTCCATGCTCAGAGTACCTTATAACATGAATGAATCTGGAGGACATTATTCTAAGTGAAATAAATCAATCACAAAAGGACAAATATTGTAAGACCTCACTTTTACAAAAACACAAGAACAGGTATAAATACAGAAATCAACATTCATTGTTGGCTACCGGGATTAAGGTGGACAGAAGGAAATCACTCTCTAGATAGTACACAATTGTTATATTTGGTGACAGGAAAGGCAATATTGCATGTGGGTGATGTGTGCACAACTTGCACAACCAAGGTAAAGGATGATACTAAGTGCAGCACAAGAATAATGGACATTTTTGGTAAATGTTATAGCATATATAATTTTGCAACAATTAAAAATTGTATGTGGTTCCACAGGTAGATACAGAAGTATATATGTGTATAGGAAGGTATATGTGTATATACATGTGCATACTTAAGTGTATCTGTAGACATACGTTATACACACACACACACACACAGAGTTCTAGTGGTGCAATGCATAAAGCATTTGACTGCTAGCCAGAAGGTTGGTAGTTCAAATTTACCAGGTGCTCCACAGAAGGAAGATGGGACAACCTACTTCCATAAAGGTTTACTGCCTTGGAAACTCAATGGGGGTTGCTGTGAGTCAGAATCAACTCAATGACAGTAGATTTACAGCATATACAATTTTGCAATAACGATAAAAAATGTATGTGATTCCATAGGTAGATATGCATTCATATATGCATATAGGAAGGTTTTTATGTGTATACACATATGCATGTATAGGTGTACCTGTAGACATATATTGTTGTTGTAGTTGTTGCTGTTATGTGCCGTCAAGTCAGATCCGACTCACAGCGACCCCTCCTTGGGTTTCCAAGGCAGTATGTATCACTACGGAAGTAGATTGCCCCATCTTCCTTCCGAGGAGTGGCTGATGGGTTTGAACCGCCAGCCTTCTGGTTAGCAGTCAAGTGCCTTAGGCACTATGCTACTAGAGCTCCCAGACATATATTATATATATTTTACACACACACACACACACACATACAATGTATGAGTGCACTGCATATATATTCATATACATAATAAACCACATTGGAGGCAAAGTTATGGATATTTTTTAGGCATAACCAAGCATAACTAAGCACCTCGCAGGATTGGTTTATTGAGTTTCAAGATTTAGGATCACAGTCTCATGGGATAACTCAGTCAACTGGCATAACATAGTTCATAAAATACATCCTATTTTGGTGAGTAGCATCTAGAGTCTTAAAAGCTTGCAAGCAGACATCTAAGATACAACTACATCTACTCCTCACTTACCTATTATCTCATTATTTGACATTTCACATTTACGACAATAGTAAAAAAATCTGATTATTTTGCATGTTAATAATGTATTTCTACTAGTAACAAACACCAAGGTGCAGGCAAGAGTAACTCTGACTGTGATGGTTAAAGTTATATGTCACCTTGGCTAGGCTTTAATTAATTCTCAGTGGTTTGGCAGTTATGTAATGATGTCATTCTTCCATTTTCTTTCATTTCCATAACAACCTGGTCTATAGAACCTATATCAATAAGTGAGGAGTGGGTGTATTTGTTTCTACTCGTCTGGAACAGATGAGAAAGGAGAAACTGGTTTACAAGTTTCACAAACCAAACCAAGGCATCATGTGTCCTGAGACCAGGAGAACTAGATGGTGATTGGCTACCATGACCAGGGACATAATATATGGTCCGGGATAGAATGAGAGGAAGAAAAAAAAAATGTATGTGTGTGTGTATACATACATATATATACATATATACATATATGGATATATGTATATATGTATATGTATATGTGTGTGTGTGTGTGTGTATATATATAAATAAATAATAGCCAGACTTACTGGAGCAGTAGAGACTACGACTAGAGGAAGCCCTGGAGCCTACAGCCCTGAGATACCCTTTGAATTTTGAACTGAAATCCTCCCAGAGGTCACCTTTTAGCTAAATAACAGATTGGCTCATAACATAATACCACCTGTGAGTTCTGCAATCCTTTCAAAAAAAATCATCTATATGAGACCAAATGGTCAACATTTACCCTGATGCAAAAAAGGTAAAGGGGTTAGGGGCAGCAGGGAAACTATTAATGGAAATAAAACACCAGAACAGAAATAATTAGAATACTGTCATGTTGTATAAAATGTAAGCAATATCAGTGAATAATATGTATGGAAACTGTTAAATGCAACCCAATGTGCTGTTTAAACTTTCACCAAAAACACGTCATGAATGGAATTATGTCCCCCCCAAAATACGTGTCATTGGCCAGGCCACGATTCCCAGTACTGTGTGATTAGCCTCCATTTTGTGGTATGTTGTAAATCCTAATCTCTGCCTGTAATTAATGAGGCAGGATTAAGTTATGTTAAAGAGTTATGTTAAATATGTTTATCATATTAATGAGGCAGGATCAGGGTGGGATGCATCACCCTTACTTAAACCACTACCCTTACTCAGGTCACCACCCTGATTTTACATAAGTGGAGTTTCCCTGGGGTGTGGCCTGCATCACCTTTTACCTTACAAGAGATAAAAGAAAAGAGAATGGAACAGAACAGGGAGGACTTCAATACCACCAAGAAAGAAAAGCTGGGAGTAGAGTGCATCCTTTGGACCCAGAGTCCCTGTATTGAGAACCTTCTAGACTCAGGGGAAGATTGACCCCAAGACATATGGAGATCTCCAAGAAACACAGGACCCACATATATTGAAAAGACTTTCACCAGAGCTGACAGAGAGAAAAAGGCTTCCCCTAGAGCCAGTGCTCTGAATTCAGACTTCTAGGCTCCTAAACCATGAGAGGATAAATTTCTGTTTGTTAGAGCCATCCACTTGTGGTATTTCTGTTATAGCAACACTAAAAAACTAAGACAAATAATTATAAAAATAAATAAATTCCATGCTGAAGACAAGGCTCCATCTTCTCTCACAGACTAATTGCTGAAGAATTTTAAAATAAAAAAAAAAGAGTAACTTTAATCATGAGATTCAGAGACTTTCAGAGTTTCTTAATCTAAGAAAGTACACCATCCTTTTATGACCTTGTTTGGGGAAACAATTAACCAATTCTCAGAATGTCTTTTAGATGAGTTCAGAGTACTAAACTTGAGCACTTCTAAGATGGAAATCAATGAACAAAAGTGAAGCTCTATGGTAAGAAATCTCTTTACATTTTTACATGCAATATAAGTTACCTTCAAGAATGTTCCAACAATGTAAGTTACATGCTTAAGTACAGGGCATCTAACTATAATCTAAACATAGTATGTTCTTAATAAAAATTTGTTTGACTTGCATGATGAAAACTAAAAGTAATTCAAGATATTGATTGGCAGAACATGCCTTTTCATATTCCTTTGGGTGATAAAACTCACTTTCACCATCATGCATTGGTCAGTTAAGAAATAAAGCTACATTTCTGAGATTCTTAAGTATCAACAAGTGTATACTTCACATGGCACATCATTTTACACGTGCTGTATAAACAGATTAAGAATTAACAAATTAATTCATAACAGATACCGAAGCAATTATAGATATGTGTGCACATATGGATTAGTATACACATATGTATAGCTCTGTCCACTGAGAATGCCTAGAAGCTATGACATCCCAGTAGCAAAGACCACATCCAGTACCCAGAGCTTGGTTTCTAAATACCATTATCCAATAAAAGGAACCAAGTTTCCTTGGAGAATTAGCTGTGTTGAAGACTGGAGCAAAAAAAATAAAAGATGAATCTGGAGGATCTTTATAGTACCCAAAAATAAGAAAGTGCTCAAATTTGCATTTTAACACTAAATTGTTTCTCATGACAGGAGAATTTCTATTAACTAAAGGATGAAAACCTTACTACTATTGGATTTTTCCATTTGTGAATAATGACATTGATGCTTCCCTTCTTTTACCCCCAAAATAAACCATCTTGCATTCCCTAATCCAAAAATGTACAGCATAAAGTGGAGACACATCCAAAAGACAAGTCAGTTAGGAGTTAGTCACAAAATTAAAGCATACCGTGCAATGTTCAAACTTTTTACCAGTTCATCTAATACACGGTTATTTTTCAGGTCCGGCTCTGTGACTGTCTAGAAAAGAAAAACAATAGATGGGAAAAGGTCAGAAACAATAATTAAAGTGTCACAGTCTTGTTTTTGAAAATGTGTGACCCATCCTCCTGAAACTCTTCATTCCACTCAGTCTTCCACTTCCAGGAAAGCCTCAAAATAATGTTCATTTATCTCATCATACCAATACAGAATTTTAAAACAGTGAATCAGTACCTGCTGCCTGGAAGCCTGACAAAAGTTCTCCAAAGCATCTGCTAAAATCATATATGCTCTGTACTGAGAAAGAAAAGACCTAATATGGACAAGAATCCTTCTTCAAATGCCAGCATTGTTTTCCCCAAAATTTCTCCTCAATAGCAGAAGAGAGATGTTCTTTGAAGTACTAATGCTAGAAGAGATACTAAATGTTTAAAGAGACTTTGAAAATAAGACTGGTTTTCAGAAATGCAAGAGGAAAATGCTAAATTATTTAGCATAACTGGTAAACAGCTTATATCAGTGATGACACCATCTTGACAAAAGCATTGCAGAATTGTGGTAAAGAGCTCAGACTCGGGAGCCAAACTGCACCACTTCTTACGTAAGGAAACAGTTCAGAGAAGTTCAATGACTTGCTGATACCATATGCCCAAAATCTTTAACTAGTCCCAGTATTCTTTCTGTTTGACCTCACTTTCTTTTTTTCTTTATTCCTACTTATGGTTAATTTCCCTTTTTACCTTTTCATCTATTCCAACTACTATAAATACTTTAGAAACCATGACAATAAATTCCATAGTATTTTCCTGAAGGTCTGGTTTGGGAAAGAGGTAAGGAGCTGGATAGGCTGGGTTATGAACTGGTCAATCATGAATCTTTGTCTTTGGCACAAATACTTACACCAGTACTTTACAAATGAACATCAGATTTATTTTTTTATAATTTCTCTCAGATTTCCCACCCAAGGAAAGAAATTATAAAAAATGAAACCCACTGATAATGAGTAGATTCCAACTCAAAACCACAAAAGCATGGATCATAGATTTAAAAAGCACTATATGGGAGCTCTGGTAGCATAGTGCCTTCACTTGCCTGCTAACCAGATGGCTGGCAGTTCAAATCCACCAGCCACTCCTCGGAAGGAAGGTTGGGCAATCCTACTTCCGTAGTGATACGGCCTCGGAAACCCAAGGAGGGGTCGCTATGAGTTGGGTTTGACTCAACGGCACATAACAACAACAACAACATATGTTGATCTTAAAAATCAGTTTTCAATTACTAAACCACATTTGTTGTTGTTGTTGTTGTTGTTAGGTGCTGTTGAGTCGGACCCAACTCATAGCAACCCCTCCTTGGGTTTCCGAGGCAGTATCACTACGGAAGTAGATTGCCCAATCTTCCTTCCGAGGAGTGGCTAGTAGGTTTGAATCACCAGACTTCTGGTTAGCAGTCAAGTGCCTTAGGCACTACACTAGCAGATCTTAATGAATAACTGAACAAAGCCAAGTTCTCCTTGGCTTTGCCTCTACCCATGGTATTTTTTGTATAACAAACCAGTTGCAGTCAAGTTGATTCAGACTCATGGCAGCCTCGTGCATGTCAGAATAGAACTACACTCCACGGGTTTTCAAGGGCTGATTTCATACCTCCAGGCCTTTCTTCTAAAAGAAGTTCTGGTGGCATAGTGGGTACGGCATTTTGCTGCTAACCAGAAGGTCAACGGTTCAAACCCACAGCTGTTCATTGGGAGGAAGATGGGGTGACTTATTTCTATAAAACTTACAGCCTTGGAAACCCAGTGGGGTCACTATTAGTTGGAATCACCTCAACAGCAGTGAGTGTGGGTTTAGGCCTTTCTTCTGAGGTGCCTCTGGACAGACTCAAACCTCTAACCTTTTGATTAGCAGCCGAGCATGGGAACCATTTGCACCACTCAGGGATTTCTTTCTGTACACATGAAGCAGAAATATTTGCACCAAAATTATTGTTAAACAACAACAACAAAAAAGAAACAAAGAAAAACTGAAAAACTCACCACACAGCAAGTAGGACACTGAGTTTTATAGGATAGAAATTTTCTTATACAGAGAGAACAATCTGGAAAAAGAAAAAAAAGCAACATAGTAAGTTAATTAAGGTATATTAATAATACAGGAATCTGACCTCTTAAAAAGTCTGACTTATATTACTATTTTTAATCAGTGATCTTTAACCTAGGGCATTTTGAAAGTCCTAGAACATCTTCCTCATCTAAGATGTTGTTGTTGTTGTTATGTGCCGTCGAGTCAAACCCGACTCATAGCGACCCCTCCTTGGGTTTCCGAGGCAGTATCAC